ATAAATCAAAAAAAATTAGCCAGGCGTGGTAGCGCACACCTGCAGTTCCAGCTACTCAGAAGGCTGAGGCAGAAGGATCGCCGGAGCCCAGCAGGTCGAGGCTGCAGTGGCCGGGAGCAGCCACCGCACTCCAGTCTGGACAACAGAGTGAGACTCCGACTCAAAAAAAAAATAAATAAAGGTACCTTCATAATGAACATTTGTATGCCTGAATTGTACCCCACATCTTTAAAATAAAAAAAAAGAAATGACATCATTTATATTCATTTAGTTATTCATTAAATACCTGCTATGTGCTCCAGAACTTGTGCCAGCAAGAGAAGTTTTAACTACAAATCAATCAGTTACATCAGTGTAACATAGACAAGACTTCCTTGTTAACTTCAGAAGATAAATGATGCATCATACCACCATTGACTCCTCTGCCTTATTTTCACACCAGAGGTTATATTCTGTTATAATTCTTTCTTGCTTGAGGCATATACTCAAGCAATAGGCTATTTCAATGACATTTAGACAATGCCTATCAGCTAAAAATTAAAGGCTCAATCAGAATCTCCAGAGACAGTGATGTAAAATAAAGTTTTCAGGGAAGTAGCCTCATCCAAATTCTTGATCAGAAAAGCAAAACAAGGCATTAATATTTTGAAAAACTTAACTGGTTATACTGATGTGCAGCTAGTGTTAATAATCATTACATTAAGTTACACTCCTCCAGAGGAAACAAGGGCATGAAAAATCTGTTCTAGCCGGTCTTGGTGGCTCAGCCTATAATCCCACGCTCTGGGAGGCTGAGGTGAGTGGATTGCCTGAGCCCACGGGTTCGAGACCCACCTGGGCAATTTGGCGAGACCTCATCTCTACAATAAATAATAATAATAAAAAATTAGCTGGGTGTGGCAGCGCACGCCTATAGTTCCAGCCACTTGGAAGGCTGAGGCGGAAGGATCGCTGGAGCCCAGCGGGTCGAGGCTGCAATGGCCAAGAGCGGCCACTGCACTCCAGTCTGGGTGACAGTGAGACTCCAACACAACAACAAAAAAAAAAGAAAGAAAGAAAGAAAAATCTGTTCTATACTTAAAAAATATTTTAGAGGGCAATCTCCTCGGGTCCCCTCCCACTGCAGGAGCTTTTCTGTCCTCTCATAAATCCTGTTTTCTAAAATAAAACAAAGTCTTTAGAGACAATGTAACAAACATACAAAAGGAAGAAAAAGCAAGAGTCAGGAGACCACATACAATAGCCACACTCCAAAAGATTTGGGTTTGAACAAAGAAATGAGGAAGCAAAATGAAGAGAGGGGACTAGAGTTAAGATCTAACATCTCAAGCAGAATCTACAAGATGTAAAGACCAAATGGTTGTGATGAAGGAGAAACAGAAGGCAAAAATCATTCCAATGTCTCTAGTTTTAATAACCAGATGGTTAGTGATGTCATTAACCAATAAATGAAAGGCAAAAAGGGAAGCTGGCTTGAATATCAAAAAGAGTTAAAGCAAGGTGCAGTGGCTCATGCCTGTAATCCCAGCACTTTGCGAGGCCAAGGCAAGAGGATTGCTTGAGCCCAGTTATTTGAGACCTCAGCCTTCCAAGCAGCTGGAACTACAGGCACGTGCTATCACACCCAGCTAATATTTTTATTTATTGTAGAGACGAGGTCTTGCCAAGTTGCCCAGGGTGGTCTTAGGCAATCCTCTCACCTTGACCTCCCAAAGTGCTGGAATTATAGGAGTGACCCAACGTGCCAGACAAAAGCGATTTTTTAAAAAGTTACATTTATGAGCCGAGTTCGGTGGCTCAGCCTGTAATCTCACATCTTTGGGAGGCTGAGGTGAGTGGATTGCCTGAGCCCGCGGGTTCGAGACCCGCCTGGGCAGGGAGACCTCATCTCTACAATAAACAAATAAATAAATCAGCGGGGCGTGGTAGCGCATACCTGTAATTCCCGCTACTGGGAAGGCTGAGGCAGAAGGATCGCCGGAGCCCAGCAGGTCGAGGCTGTGGTGGCCGGGAGCGGCCACTGCACTCCAGTGTGGGCGACAGAGGGAGACTCCAGCTCAAAAAAAAAAAAAGTTACATTTATGGCTACCTTACTCTAATCAGTGGCAGGTCCAGAATTTCCAGATAGATGGAGTTAGAGGAGTAATCTGTTTGGAAGGAGGGCTTGAAAATGCTTTTGCATAGTACTCCATATTTGGTTAGAAAATACTAATTGATCATATCAAAAAATTGAGGGAAGGGGGTTTGTGAGAAAGATTTCCCTCCCCTCTGGCACCACCATAGCTATGTTCTAGGCACTGTACCAAATATGTTGTCTTCATCCTCATAATAAGTCTATTAAGTAGATGAGAAAACTGAGGCTAGACTGGAATGGCAACTTGCTCAGAATCACAAATCTCCTAAGGAGTACATTAACTCTCACCTATCTGCTCTCTATGGCTCTTTATACCTACCTAGTGTTTCTCATTATTCAACTTGATATGGTGTATATTTATGTGCCTTTCTCTTACTGTACTTCTCACAGTACACTGGATTATAGTTAGCTTCTCAATGGTGTCATTTACTTCTATATCCCTACAGCCAAGAACTAGTAAGTATTTTGTTGAATTAAGCATGTAAAATAATCGGGGTGAGGATAACATCAAGAATAAAGAGTTTCAAGAAATGGGTAGTCAGTAGGGTCAAATGGCATCAAGAGAGCCACCGACATATCTTAAATCATCATTGGCACTGAACTGATATTTCTTATTCGTTTACTACATGCAGGATACTGTGTTAAGCACTACAAACACATAGGAAAATAAAATCTGGTACACGTCAAAAAGTTTTCGAGTGAACGGCCTCACGTTAATTCTTGCTCAGGAAAACAAAACAGAGTCAGGCCTGCAACTGCCTACATCTTATTTGGCTCAGGTAAGTTCGAAGACAACTTAAAAGGGTCACGGCGCATATTTTTAAACAAAACTTCTCAGAGAAGACATGAGATTAAAAAGGACCAGAGCACCTCAGTCTCGGCGACGACAGCCGGTGGCCAGGGCAGCAGATTCCCTCCGGAGTCTCTCACCCCTAAGCAGGGCTAGGGCTGCCCCTAACTGCCCTTCGCAGGCTGAGGCGGGAAAAACCAGACACTCACCGCAAAAGGCACCGCTAACGCCGTGGCCCCAAGGGGCCGGGGATTCCTTGGCGAGGCCCCACGCCGTGGAAGGAAACCTGAGAAAGCTGGGAGCAGACAGACACGTACGACCCCACAACCCAACTTCCCGAACTGTATAAAGTAGGGTCCCAGTGCCCAGCACCGCGACGCCAAATCCCACCAGCTGGAAGACCGAAGACTGCCACCGAACCTTCCGCCCAACGAGGAAACGTCACCACTCAGCGTAGTCCCGCCTTTCAAGAGGATGCACTTCCGCTTCCGGGGCACACCGCGGTGTCCGGTTATTTGCGTCCACTGGCTCGGGGCTTGAGTTTTGTACCGCTGAGGACCTGCGGCAGCAAAGTTAGCGGTACACTAGAGCCTGTCTAGAGATGTGATCTCGAGAAAAACCAGGCCTCGAGGAGCCACCTTAAGAAAAACTGACAAGACTGAGCATTACTAGCTAAGACACAGAGGTGGGATTGAAGGTGGGAATTCCCGGGCGCACGTGAGAACTGCGTAAGGGGGCGGGGCATAGGACTTCGTTGCCTAGAGAGGCGGGGTCCACGGAGCATGGGGTCTGTTGTCAAGTCAGGCCCCTGCTGCGCGTGCGCAGTGCAAACCAGCTCCTGCGTCGCTAGCTACGGTTACATGGAATTTCCGTCCGCGAGGCGAGCTGTTCTGCAGCTGCTCCGTACTGTGGCTCCGGCCGACCTCCCGGCGCTGCTGCAGTGGATGCGAACTACCCGTAAGCGACTAGAACCAGAGGCAGGCGGTGGGGGCGAGGATTTGTTGTGGGCGCTGACCTTGGGGACTTAGGCGAGTTGAAGCCAAAAGCCTGTCTCTGCTCTCCTTTGGGTTAAGTTGACCGGGTCACAACTCAGACCTTGGGCTCTTAGAGAACCACTTGGGATTGGGTGCAGCAAGACCTGGCTCTAGGTGGCTGTGATTTTGCTGCAGACTTCGGAGAGGCCTGTAAGAGCCTCCTTGTGGCTAACCCCTTTTCTAAAAGAAAAAAGGGGGTGTGGCCTTTAGCCTCCTTCCCGTTACGCCCACAAACTTGTGAGGAACGACAGAATACTTCCTGAAAGAACGACAGAATACTTCCTGAAAAAGCCCTTTACAAGAGAGGTTTTATTTAGGCTGTAGAATTGGAAACTTTTACCCTGCAGGTATTATCATCAGTATCACCTGCATATATTGTCTTGGTTGTAAAATGGACCATTTAAATAGCAGTGTTTCGGGGAGAAAAGGATTGACAAAGACTAATTTTAAGCTGTTAATATAATGAATAGCAATAATAAAAAGCAAAAGTTAGAATTGAAGATGTGTAATTAGATGTAGTTATTGAAAAATGGGATAAATCTATTCTGACAAAATGAAGCCTGGTGAAAGCTCAAGAAAATAGGATATTCCTTGTTTGATAATTATACTATACTCTGCTTCCATATCTCTAAATGTTGATTCCCGTGGTTATTTTCATCCATACTCATAACTTGAAATGTCCTTGTTTGCCGATGACTCCAAATTTTAGATTTTTAACTTTTACCTCTTTTTAAAACTCTCTTTGTGATGTTAGAGTCAATCAGTAGGTATTATAATTACTGTTGCTATACATTTAAGTGGTCATTTTAGATAAGATGCCAAACTAAAATTAAAATTCACTTTGGGTGCAGTGGCTGACGCCTGTAATCGCCAGCATTTTGGGAGGCCTAGATTGGAAAATTGCTTGAAACCAGGAGTTTGAGACCAGCCTGGGAAACATAGCCAGACCCTGTCTCTACAAACATAAAAATTAGGAAATTAGCTAGGCGTGTTGGTAGGCACCTGTAATCCCAGCCACTCAGGAGGCTGGGGTGGCAAGCTGAGCCCAGAAATTTGAGACTGCAGTGTGATCATGCCTCTGCACACCTGCCTGACAGGGCACAGACCAAGGCCCTGTCTCAATCAATAAAATCAGCTTTAGCATGTGATAGTGAGGTTTATCCTGAAAAGCATTAAAAAACCAGCATCATGTTTATCACACGTACAAGATTATTTCAAGCTAAGCATTTTCAAAGTGTGTTGTGACTCTGTCACTTCATTTAAACCCTATATTGTCTATTTAATTCATCATATCTCTTTGTTAATAAAACTGCACCAGTTTCCTTCTTTATTTTTTTCTATAATCCTCAGTATAAGGTCATTTAGTCCAAAAACATTGAGTGCCTACAAAAAAGTCACATATTGCATAGCTCTCTGGCAATTTCCCAATTACTAAAACATCCTTCCCCTCAAGATATGTCTTGTAGAGCCATTTGTAATGTAATCTAAATCGCAAATTTGAGAGACATCAATTGAGACTCCATTTTTCAAAATTAGGAAGACTTGAAAGACTGTTTTGGAAGATGATTTTGTAAACGAGCCAATGCTGCTGGCTAAAGAATATATGTTTACTTTTTTTTAAACATACTTTCTGTGTCCTTCAGCAGACCCTGTAGTCAGGAATCTCAATTAATTTGTTAAACAATTTAGAAAACAACTTGAGTTTCTGAAGAATGGTCTTTAACGTGAATATTTTTTAAAATGAGTCACTTGGCCAGGCTCGGTGGCTCAGCCTGTAATCCCGCGCTTTGGGAGTCTGAGGTGAATGAATTACCTGAGCCCACGGGTTCGAGACCCGCCTGGGCAACTTGGCGAGACCTCATCTCCACAATAAATCAAAAAATTAGCCGGGTGTGGCAGTGCACACCTGTAGTTCCAGCGACTTGGAAGGCTGAGGTGGAAGAATCATCGGAGCCCAGCAAGTCAAGGCTGCGGTGACCGGGAGCGGCCACTGCACTCCAGTCTGGGCGACTGGGTGTGACTCCAACTCAAAAAAATAAATAAAATGAGTCACTTAGAGCTTGAAATGAAAGAGGCATTGTTTTTGGTCCTAAAAAGGCAATGTGGGCCAGTCTCTGTGGTTCAGCCTGTAATCCCAGCACTTTGGGAGGTTGAGGCAAGTGGATTGCTTGAGCCCACGGGTTCGAGACCAGCCCAGGAACTTGGTGAGACCTTGTCTCCACAATAAATTAAAAAATTATCCGGGAGTGGTAGCATGCACCTGTAGTTTTGGTTACTTGGAAGGCTGAGGCGGAAGGATCGCCTGAGCACAGCAAGGGTGGCTGTCAGTGTGCCGCTGCTCTTCAGCTTGGGCAACGGAGTGAGACTCCAACTCAAAAAAAAAAGTGTGTTAGTATACCTTTTTTAAGCCGGGCTCGGTGGCTCAGCCTATAATCCAGTGCTTTGGGAGGCTGAGGTGAGTGAATTACCTGAGCCCGTGGATTGGAGACCCGCCCGGGCAACTTGGCAAGACCTCATCTCTACAATAAATCAACAGTTAGCCGGGCGTGGTAGCGCGTGCCTGTAGTTCCAGCTACTTGGAAGGCTGAGGCGGAAGGATCGCCGGATTCCAGCAGGTCAAGGCTGCGGTGGCCGAGAGCGGCCACTGCACTCCAGTCTAGGCGACAGCGTGAGACTCCAACTCAAAAAAAAAAAAAAAAAAGTATACCTTTTTTTATTGTTGTGAAATATACATAACATTTACTGTTTTAACTATTTTTTTAGTGTACAGTTAGTGACATTAGGTACGTTACATTGTAATAATCACCACCATCCATCTTCAGAACTTGTTCATCTTTCCCAAAGGGTTTCCTAAAACCCTTAGTGTACTTCTTTTTAATGAAGTGGTCTAAGTACAACACAAAAGATTCTTCCAGCCAACCATTTTTCAATTTCCTGATTAGATTTCCCTTTTCCAGGAAAAAATAATTTTTTTTTTACTTTCAAATTTTTTATTTTAAAGATGTAAGGTACAGTTCAGGGTTAGGTATACACATGTTCATTAGGTAGGTAACCTTGTTGATGAGGTGTGCCCCCCTCCCCTGACAATTCCCTTCAACTGCCAATCCCACCCCCACTCTCCTGGCAGTTTCACACTACTCCCAGTCCCTTTCTTATAGTATTATGATAATTGTTCAAGGTCCGCTTATGAGTGAGAACATATGGTACTCTGTTCTTTATTTCTGTGATAGATCACTGAGTATGATGGACTCTAAATCCATCCAGGTTGCTGCAAAGTCCATATGTTTGTCCTTCTTTATGGCTGCATAATACTCCGTTGTATATATGTCCCACTTTTTTTTATCTTGTCTAGTTTCAATGGATAGCACAAAAACACATTTTTTAAAAATCTCTAGCATTAAGTTATTTAAGTAATATCTTACACGTATGACATATGTTTAGACCTTTAATAATTATAACTCTTGAATTTTTATACCATCTAATGGAATAGAGACAATAATAGATGTTGAATATCACTTTGGTTTTGACTTTCATATTTATCAAAACTAGAAAACATCTAAATTGGCGGCAGCAGGTAAAAATCACAGTAATTTTTTTTTTTTTTTTTTTTTACTCAGAGTCTCACTCTGTTGCCCAGGCTAAAGTGTAGTAGCATGCTCCCCGGCCACTGCAGCCTTGACTCGCTGGGCTCAACGATCCTTCTGCCTCAGCCTTCCAAGTAGCTGGAACTACAGGTGTGTGCTACCACACCTGGCTAATTTTTTGACTTATTATAGAAACAAGTTGCCCAGGCTGGTCTCGAACCCCTGGGCTCAGGCACTCCTCTCGCCTCGGCCTCCCAAAGTGCTGGGATTACAAGCATGAGCCACTGTGCCTGGCTAGTAATTTTAAATATACAAAAGGAAAAATCAAATTCTTGATCTCTGAAGGGGTAGTGGGATCCCTATCACACCAAGACTTGAGTCACTTAGAATCATGTTGGTAGAACCAGAAGCTTGGACCAGGGCAGAGGCAAGCACCTGTCAGTGTCTAATAAAAGCTAAAGATATAGAAGAAATAAAGGTAGGAGCCTACATTTTCTCTTGGTAAAGCTTAGGCCAAAAGTCTAGGAAACGGTAAGCACTAAAATAGAAACCATGAAACAAGTCTGAGGGGCAAAGAGAATCTCCTCTCCCCCTGCCCAAAGAAGATAAATATTTAAAATACAGCACTATCTCAGCTCATTGATTCTGATCCTGTGGCAGAGCATCATTTCCCTTCTATTTCCTGATGTATATTAAATGGGCTCTCAGTCTAGATTTGACTGATTGCAGTCATAAGTGAAGAAAGCTAAGAGCCAGAACTGAAAGTTGGGGGGTCCCTGATGGGCATATAAAAAATGTATCAGAGCCGGGCTCAGTGGCTCAACCTGTAATCCCGCACCTTGGGAGGCTGAGGTGAGTGGATTGCCTGAGCCCGCGGGTTCAAGACCTGCCTGGGCAACTTGGCGAGACCTCATCGCTACAATAAATCAAAAAATTAACCGGGCATGGTAGTGTGCGCCTGTAGTTCCAGCTACTCGGAAGGCTGAGGCGGAAGGATCGCCGGACCTCAGCAGGTCGAGGCTGCGGTGGCCGGGAGCGGCCACTGCACTCCAGTCTGGACAACAGAGTGAGACTCCAACTCGAAAAAAATTTTAAAAATTAAAAAAAATAAAAAATGTATCAGAACAGCAATATCTAGTAACATGCTTTTCTGAAGCCTCTCCATTTTTCCTGGATATGCAAATATAATTGAGGGAGTCAAACAATTAGCCCATAAAAGTTTCTATTAAAGATCAAGTTACAAGGGATAGAAAATTAGGAAATTAACAAAATCAAGAAAATATTTAAATGCTTAGAGAAAACAACAGTAAGTGACTAGAAACCTGCAGAGACTTCTCTG